GGGGTGCATATACTTTTGGGATCAAACTGATCCAAGATCACTTCGATCGTACAAATCGTGTATACAAACGAACTACTGTGATCCGATCGATCTCTATTTGCGTATACAAACGCCATCTAGGATCAACTGGATCTCGATCAAACTAATCCTAGCGGAGGGTAGGATCGTTTGGATCGGATAAAAGAGATTAAAGATGGCGGCTTCCATGGTCGAAGTTAAGCTGACAGTGCATTTCTTCCTTTTTCTATTACTATTTCTTTTGATTGTAATAAAATGGGAACAAGATCCTTAAGTAAATTTTTGAAAGTAAGTCGACTTGTTCAAAAGTGTTCTTTAAAAACATTTGTCCTATATTCTAATGCAACCTCTGAAACATAGTTAGTTATTTTGCATACCGATTTCTTTTTTTTTTCTTACTTTTATATTGTGTTAAATAATTAACCAAAATTAATTCTTCTTCCTCAAATTCTGAATCTAATTCCGATAATATTTCTAAAATGATTCCTAAACTTGCCACCATCTTCGATCCTACTCGTATACTTTCCGCCATGACAGAAGCTATCTGTATCACGTGACAAGGACTGATCCGATTTTACAGATCGATCTATACAAAACGAAAAGTATATGCACCCCAGGATATTGAGAGTTACAGCAGGTTTCTGGTGTAAGCCTTACCAACAATGACCTTCAAGAACTGGCAGAACAAGGAATTCATATAGAACTGGAAAATAAGAGTTTATGAAAATGAAGAACCCAAAAAATTTCTCTACAGATTTCCTTAGTAAAAGTTTGGTAAGATAACCGAAATCGTTGATCAAATTGTAGCAAATAATCCAGATTTTGTAGAGAGTGCAAAAGCAAAACGAGGCATTTTGGATGCGATCTTCTGTTACTAACACTTGCTTAAGGAATGAAAAAAGGTCCAAATGAAACTACATGACGTTATTGCAAAAACAAGAATTTCAGAAATGCCAGGACCTTCCTCACAAAAAATGAACTTTGCATTTCTGTGTGCTTATGTTTATGTGCTATTTAACATATATTATTATACAAATTAATATAAAAATAACTTAAAATTAAAGTAAAATTTGTTTATTTTTAGTCGCATGTTCCCCTAACCCTATGATAAGTATGGTAACTATGATAAAAATGACCTCATTTAGCACTTTGTTGTCTAGGAACGTATCCCCCCGCATTAAGTGGTGTCTTACTGTAATTAATAAAAATTACATTATTATTCATTTATTACTAACTAAATACTAATCTATTTCTAATCTGAAAACTAACAGCTTTCAAAATAATTGTTCATATTTCAACAGATTAAAGATTTAAATAATCATTAATCTGTTTAAATTTGATATGAAAAACTAAAACTAATCTATAAACAAGGCAACCAATATATCAATATAAGCAATCTTTGCACTTTTTATATATTTACATAAAGGCACAAAAAATATATTAAGTTATCAAATACATTAAGTACTGTACAAATTATTAAATCCATAGCAATTTTTTACAGGTGGTTTTCTATTTTAATTAATTTTAAACACAGTTATATTTCTTAAAATATAACTGTGTTTAAAATTAATTAACAAAATAACTATTATTTTGTTGAAATATTTAAAGAAGATAATTAAGTAATTTATAATTTAAATAACAAATGTTACCATATAAAATTTCCTTAACTATACATTCATTAAAAATGTAATAAAAATTTTGGTACTTTTCAGTTAATGGGACACAAGAAGATGATTGCGTTTAACAATTTAATCCATACGACTGTGCCAGCTCTCAGGGCCGGATCATCGCATACACAAATGAGACAAAATGTCTAGGGCCGGTTTTTAGAAGGGCCCAGTCAAACTGTGTATTTTGAAAAGATTTGTAAATAACATAGTTTACTTTTCTATTGGACAACAATACAGTATATAATAAATAAAAATATATTGCTTTTTATATGGTTATTGTGAATTCTAAAATCTAAAGAAAATGTACGTGGGTTGTTCAAAAAGTTCCCGAACTTTTTGAATAGCGCGCCTCCAGTTGGTTATTTTTTAATTCGCCTGGAGGCGTTGTGTCCACGGAAACCTCCCGAGTAACCTCCTTCAACCCGTTTGTTGATATCTTGTTTTGGTGATTAGTTACGGCTGTTTATGTGAAGTGGTGTTTGTGGGGTTCGGCAAAAAATCGGATCTGCGGAAATCAGCTCTTTGAAAGAACAGCGTTGTTCTGTGAAATTCTGTGTGAAACTCAGAAAATCCTTTACGGAAAATTCCCACAAGTGGGTGAAACAGCCCCCGCCCCAAAAAGCTCAACAAGTTCGCTCAAATGTTAAGGTGATGTTGACTGTTTTTTTTTTGGTGCAAAGGGGGTTGTGCATCACCTACAGGCCAGACAATCAACACGGAGTACTACCTGGTGTTATGAATTGCCTAACAGACAAAATCAGGCGAAAATGGCCCGAACTTTGGAGGAGCGGCGAGTGGTTCTTTCACCACAACAACGGTCCGGCTCATTTGTCCCTCAGAACACATGAGTTTTTGGCCAAAAACAAGACTACTGTGCTTCCCCACCCACCCTACTCACCTGACCTGGTCCCATGCGACTTTTTCCTGTTCTCCAACAAACTAAAGAACGCGCTCAAAGGAAAAACATTTGCCACCATTCCAGAGATAAAAAAAAACGACGGAGGAGCTTATGAACATTCCGGAAAAAGCGTTCCAGGACTGTTTCAAAAAGTGAAAGTGTATATGCTGCAGAAAAGGCTACTTTGAAGGGAAACCCGACAAATAAATTGTATGTGAAGTATTCTTTTCTTTTTTGTAATAAATAAAGTTTGGGAACTTTTTGAACAACCCTCGTATTCTTATGTTTCTTCTTATTTAAAGTAAAACTCCCAACAATTTAGAATATTCTTTATAGCGATAAGAATAATATTAACTATATGTATTCTTAAATCTTGTAAAATATTGTTAAATAAGTTTGCTTTTATCTTTTATAAAACAGCTGCAGTGTCCATATGCAATTTAACAGAAATAATAGTAACAAGATTTATTAATTGAAAGAGCCAGGAGGGGACCCAGAAGAAGAAAATGTCTAGGGCCCCAAAGTGGTTTAATACGGCCCTGCCAGCTCTGAGTAGCCCACTTAACTGTTTGTGGAGTACTTGATGTTATATAGTTTTAGGGTTCAGTTTTAGATGTGAAACCCCTCATTCAGAGTGTAAATCCTACCCATTGCAGTACATGTCAGCTGATGTTCTGTTAACTGAAAAATACCCAAATTATCATATAAAAATTATTCTAGCAAATAATTCTATTATAATAAAGGTTTGATCAAAAATATCATCATCATTTACATTTTAATTACATATATATCATTAATTTAATCAAGTTTTGTTCCCAGAAGCATTTGAAGAAATTATTTGATAAAGTGTTTATTGAGATATAAAAAGAAAATAATTTGTTCAACCAATCTCAATTAACTTGAAAGAAATCTTCAATTTTATTAAACTGAAAGTATTTTAAAAAATAATTTTATAAATTTTGAAATCTAACAAGTAAAGCTATAACATATAATTTGCAACTCGTGGTATATTTAATGTAATTTAATAAACTATGATCTGATATAGGTTTATGTGCAATAAACACATTAAATGTAACTTTAATCTATATCACACAACAATGTCAAAACTTTTTACTGTATATTAAAAGTACTTTCATATATTTCATTTAAGGCTTTGTCAGTTATAAGATATTTAAACAGAATATCTTATAACTGAGGAGGCCTTAAATAAAGTAGACAAAAGTACTTCTTATATAAAAAGCTTATAAAATTGTTCTATGTTTGTATATAAAGTTATATTTATTTGTTCATAATGTCAGTATTCCACATATTTATAGTAAACACATTGTATTAAAAGAATGAATATAAAAATTATACAATAAAACAGGAACAAAAAAATATTTCCAGAAATTGCTATTTTACACAAATGTTATTATATACTAGCTGAAACATTCCGCCCTCCTTGGAAAAACGAGATATTAATAAAGTTAACATACTCATACAAAAATACATACATAAAGAAAAAGAATATGTACCATACTTATAGGGACTCACTGACAGTATGACACATGTAAAAAATGGCAATGATAATACATTCAATAATGTATACATTTTAGTCAAACAGGCTGACCAATCAAATTTCATTTGACCAGCCTATGTCCACTTCAGCCCATTAATGACCACAACGTTAGCCTATTATATTCAAACTTCACAGTTCACTTCACACCCACTGGCCTCCAGGCAAAACTTCTTATTCATGCGAAATACCTGATAAGAAGCAGGTGTGAACTATTTACACTTGCTAGTGATATTGTAATTTATCAAAGCTTATAAAATCGAATGATTACGGAAATAGAAAAAGTCTATATCCTTCCCGGGACTATCCCGAGTATATGTATTAAGTTTCATAGAAATCGGTTCAGCCGTACTCACATAATATACGATTAGATACAGACGTGAATTCAATTTTATGTATAGAATTTGAAATTGAATAGAGGAAACACACATTTTGAAAGCTTTAAGAGTGGAAAATACATGTTTCGTAATAAAAACTATAACATTTTTAAAGGTTTACTTTATTTGATAAAATAGATTTGGAAATGGATCGTTTCCTGAACAGGTCGGATGTCACAACAGGAAAACGATACACTAAAAATATGAGGAATTTTTACTTCTTAAACGAAAGTTTACATTTATTTTTCTTCTATTCCGATAATTTCTGCTTTAGTTATTTACGCAAATACATTAAAATAATCCATATATGAATATAAATATACAAAATAAATTAAGCCTAATATAACTTACCACATCGGGATTAGTTTTTGTAATTCTAATCGAATAATTTGATAATTTTTATTTATTGTTGAGTTAGAACTTATAGAAAGAGGACAAAACATTCGTAGTTTTATACGGTGAACTAAAAAAAAAAACATAAAAGTTGGTTATACAAACTAAAAATCGAACTTATCCGGAACAGTCATCACTCAAGCCTTCGGTTGCTCTGGTAACAAGATTACAAAAATGAAAACAACAGTATTGGGTGTGAAAATTTCGGCCTTTTAAACATTAAATAATTTATATTATTTTATTTTATTTATTATTTCTTATACAAAATTATATGTTTCTAAATCGTATATATCGAGATTTTTCTGTATATATGAATAATTACGAAACTATTTTTCTTTGAATGTTACTGCATATTTTGTTTATTTGCAAAATGGAGATAATTGTAATTTTCAATATTTTAAAATGAAATTTTTTACATTCATTTAAGATAATAAATTTTCAAAAAAATTAAAATGAAACATAGATTATTCGATATATTTTAATAAGAATGTTTTGTAATTTTTTTATACGGAAAAAAATACATTTTAAATACAGTAAAATCTAATCTGTCCCTCAATAATTCGGCATTTCATCCACTGTGAAGGCCTATGCGCTTCTGTTCCATGAAAGTGTTAGTTATGTCACACATCCTGTTTTTCTCTTTTTTTTTCTACGTACAGTATTGCATTTTATCATATTTGCCCTCCTGCCTTCAAAAAGAAACAGTACGAAAGGCGACAGGTCATGTCATTCATTGCCTTTAGACAGCTTATACAAGCCCAATAATCCGATACTCTTGTTAATCTGGCACTCAGCTGTGCAAGGAACTGCCGGATTAGCGAGAGTTTGTTGTATTTGAACAGAAGTCTTGAAGGAAAGTACTGAACATAGAGGGAGGAAGAAAACATTAATTAGAACAAGTAATACATACCGTTCCATCCGTTATTAATGAAATTCCGGACAGAAGTTGAACCGGCCTCGTGAAATAAAATTAACAAGATTTCAGTTAAACTGGAATATTTAGAAGATAAAATATTGGCTGTGTTCGAAATGTCAAAAGTTTCATCTGCAAGAATGAAGAAACATGCAGCGGAATTAACTTCCTCTACTATGCACTTTAATATAATGTTACATGCATTTATTATCTGGTTTTGTATATTCCGACTGATATATATCACATGTTTCTCAGTTTTGAACGTGTTCTTTAATAATATTATCGCCTGCATCAATTGCTCTTAGTAATGCTCGAAAATTTTCTTTGTTTACAGAAGGTTTTATTTCAATGGAAAATTCGATGGAACCTAGAGTTGCCACCTTTTCAAAATTGCTGACCAGGGTCAAGGACTATATACTACAAGGATAGCCAGATCCCTATTCTACAATGTTAGCCAGAAACAACAAGTTAGTGACGTCAGCACGAGACCTGACCTCTCTGTTTACATAGAGCAGGGTGTGCACGTATTTAATATTAACGAAGTGATTTATTTTAATATTTCTGTAATTGTTTTATTTGACTAAGTTTTTTATAAGGTAAGATGATTTAAATATAAGTCATTAAATATTTAAAGCTATATTTTTATGTTAAGTGAAGAACAAAATGCTGAGTACTAGGTGTGCTGTGTATGGTTGCAATAATAACCTTCTTTTTTTCAAATTGGAAGCAACCTGTTTACATCGGGTTTGATCAAAAAATGACAAGAGAAATACTTTTAAAATTAATAGCAGAACTTTATTTACTATCGTATAATGTAGTAGCTTGCGTCAGTGACTGTAGTTGCAGTAACATNCTTTCTTTCTTCGCATTAGTTTCTACAAAGTAATCATTTAACAATTTATCTTTTCGTAATTTTATATCATAATGCGTAAACGTATTCAAACACATTCATTATAAGAAATTTGACCCAGCTATTAAGTTTATATAGAAATACATATGTAGAGGAATAACCTGTATACAGGAAGTCAGAAAGTAGTACCATTGTGTAAACAGTGAAGTAATATAATATAATTTCAACTCAGATCTCTCCCATTGTGAGCAAAAATTTGCCTACGTTTTAGGGATTGTCTGTTTTTTATGTAAATTAGTATACAATCGCAGACTACGACTTGTATTAAATACGCCAGATGTTCGTGATAATAAACCCACCGAGTTTATATACAAGAAATTATATTTTACTTTCGTGTTACAAATTACAAGAATTCGAATTTAGTTCTCGATGTTTCAGTTCTACAAGCGTTTATCTTACATTTATACATTATCTGTTAACGTCACACCCTGTAAAAATCCAGAGAAAGCTTAATTTTCAAAACACAAATAACTTGGATACAAAATTGTAAATGTTATAAGGTGTAAAATCTTCATAAAAAGCGATTCTTCACGAAACCTACTTCTACTTGTCACCCCTTCGTGCTTCAACCACCGAAATTGAATCGCCTCGATGTCCCTTATTATACAAGTTACCGTGCAAATGTCGGTTTGTAATGTTTATTTATTCTGAGATATGAAACGAAATAGACACACACAGATATTTCGGGAATTAATTTTTTGACTTTTTTGTGTGCACAGGTCTTAAAACACAACGATTTCAAAAACACTAAAAGATTAAAATATTATAACAGCCGGAAAAGTAAAATCCAGACAATTATATTAAATTTCTCGACATATACTTTGACAGCTGATAAATTAATTGTCAATTAAATTTGATATCAGAAATAAGCACACTGCAAAACAATGAATTATGTCATAAATAAGAACATTGTGTGTCTTGCCATCATTTTATTCGTTCGTTTACTCCACCTGAATAATGTTTTCGGTGAATTTTTATTTAATGTCCGTTAAACTTATTGCTTAAACAGTAACAAAAATAATTATTAAAAGTATTTTTTCAAAATAAATGAAATCTTTGTAGAAATAAACATTTGGAAATTAATTTTCTATTTTTGAATTGTTTTGAATATAATGTGAAAGACTGCGGATGGATAATTAATATTAAGTTTCTTAAAGAGATTTTAACACAATGAGTTTAACATAAAATCATTTCTTAATAATCGTTAAACAAATTAATCTATGAATCGGATAATTCATTGTAATCTCTTTGTGACCTCACCTTGATCCAGTACTTTTAATTCTTTATTTAATTCCGATGATGATTTTGACGTGAGGTCAGTATTGGTGTTAGTTAAACTCACGTCGTCATCGGAGGATTCACTGCTTAATTCTTCTTCTTCTGTGATAGTTTCTTTCGCCAATGAATAATTTTTCATATACACAAATGCCCGTTTTAATGGACGTCTTTTTCGTTTGAAAGGGGTAATTTGATCATTACGCAAACAAAAGTGGAACCCCTCTATATCATCATCAGAATCCTGTGAAAAAGTGAAAAATTCAGATTTCTGATCGAATAATTTTACAGTACTTGTATTTTATTAGATTTGCATTGTTGTCATGGTTTTTAAATTTTATACTTTTAAATTATAAGAGTTATCAGATTATTTTTAATTATTTCGATTGAATTGTAACTTACAGAAGAGGACAATTCTGTTTCCTCCGGGTTATCGTTTTCTTCACTTTCCTCATATTTCACTTCTGTTTAATTTTAAATATAATTAAATGATTAGTTTTAATTCATACTTAATGAAATAAAAAATAACGTGAAAGAAATTAACATTATAAAAATGTTATTATAATTTCTAATGTTTACTTTTTTTTTACATCTGAATGAAATAGAATATTTAAATGTTAGAAAAGATGAAAAAATGAAATAATAAATTGTTATTCATTTGCAGAAAATACGTTTAACGTTCGAATTGTCTCCAGCAGAAAATGACTGCAAAGTTAAATATCGTTAATGACACTAAGAAATAGCTGATTGTAATTTTCATGTTTTTAATAATTGATGTTATGAATTTTCTATTTACAATAAGCGACAGTTTCTGTTTAGAAAGTATTTAATGAATTAAAGTTAACTATGAAAGTGTGCTTGGTGCTTGTTAACTGATAGCTTTTACTGCTCCTCTTCTCTCTGTTTGAAATTCGTGCTAAATGCACGATTTTCTGATGACTAATTTAATTGAAAATATTTTCAATGTAATTACCAAATTGTAAAGATTCAGAAATATTCCAAGAAATTTTTGAACGTAAAACAGAAAAAAAAGCGTTACTTCAACTCGAAAACAATCACAATTACATTTGTTTATTAATGTGATTAATTTATATTAGATTTTTATGGAATTCAACGTAGAGAATGTATTCGCTATCAACGTTATAACATTGTTATAAAAATTTTGAAACATCTGCTAGAAAATTACTATTAATTTTATGTTTTTGTTTTTATTGCGAATACGTTAAAAAAGAGTTAAACTGTATTTTTATTGTATAATTATATTAACTTACTTAAAAAATCCATGTTTTCGCTTTCGAAATAACTTCTATCTAAAAATATCGCTCCGACAATTACGGAAAATTTATTCTTAACATTTATTTTTTACGCAACAATGAAAAACGTGCTTACGGAAAGATAATCGCAGCGCGTGCTAAGCATTACGTATGTGAAGTAATTTTTTTTTAATTACAAAAGACACAGTCTGTCAAAAAATTTATTTTTAGAAACCACCATTTATTCTGATCATGTGTTCCAGAACACCATCGACAACCGGACCTTTCTTTGTAGGCTACTAGGTCATCAGGCTAAAAAATTCCTTAAAAACACACACAAAAATATCCAATTAAAACATTAAAAGTAAAGAATTGGAACTGGCGGCCTTACAGACGTCTTGAACTTGCATTCTTTCCAGTTATGGAATTTCAGTCCTTTATATCCACCTGATAAATGCGCTGTTAAATGTAGATTTTGGTCTCATCCTTCTTGTCCCTTTTGTAATTAAAATAATTTATCATCCGGCGAAATTCTACAAAGAAGAATTTTTTAAAAATAATTCGTCACCAGAGGGATGAGACCAAAATCTACATTTGACAGCGCATTTATCAGGTGGATATAAAGGACTGAAATTCCCTAACTGGAAAGAATGCAAGTTCAAGACGTCTGTAAGGCCGCCAGTTCCAATTCTTTACTTTTAATGTTTTAATTGGATATTTTTGTGTGTGTTTTTAAGGAATTTTTTAGCCTGATGACCTAGTAGCCTATAGAGAAAGGTCCGGTCGTCGATGGTGTTCTGGAACACATGATCAGAATAAATGGTGGTTTCTAAAAATAAATTTTTTGACAGACTGTATCTTTTGTAATTAAAATAAATTATCATCCGGCGAAATTCTACAATGAAGTAATTTTATTTTTGGCTTTTCTCCACGCGACCAGTTTATGGATAATGTGTCAACCCGATCAGCGTAGAGTAAATTTGTTTAATTAACCGACAACCGTTTGAAATTTTATATTGAAAAACTCGGGCTGTGTCACAGAAACTTTTACATCACTACATTCATTGCACAAACACAATGAGCAAAGTTCGATCTTTTTTCAAATTCGATAGCAAAATTGGCAAATTCTTTTCTGTTTGGTATCTATACGTAATCCTTTGCCAACGCGTGACAAATTGCTCGACAAGTTTCATTAATGATGGTGCAAACAGTCTATCTACCCATTCGAAATGCAAAAGCTTGGAGAAGTTTTTAATCTCCACCAGCTAAATACCTAAAAATATTAAAGAAATCATTTATCATTTACATTTATAATCTGAAATTATATTTTTTTATTTGTCATTTCCTTTGTTTTTCTTCTTCAAATTGTTATATAAATATTGAACGCACGCGAAGAAAGTTTTACGAATTGCTGTGTTTTTTTTTTACTCTCTAGTTACCGATTATCAAATGAACTTTCCGCACGTGATCTATATAAATTAGCGCGGGAGACTCCGTCAAAGATATAAATGTTATATGGCAACCTAAGAACCTGAAACAGAAACAAATAGAATTGAAGACCTGACATGCTAGGAAATCGCTCGTAATCCGGATGAAACAGCATTGTCTTCTCTTTTAAGCCGTAATTCAATCGAAATAATTGAAATTAATTTAATATTTATTATCTTTTAAAAGTTTTAAACTGAAAAACACAACACAGCAATGCAGATTCGTCTAAAAAGTGTTATTTAAAATGGTGCAAATTGATTATTTATTAAATAAATTTTTTCTGAGTTGATAAAAAAAATAATTCGAGTAATGTAACATTATTATAACAGAAATTAGAATTACGTCCTCGATTCTCTGCTTTCGTTAAAACTGTATTATATTTGTTTATAACAAAAACTATTGAATATGGATTGAAGTTAAAGTTAAGATTTGTTAATATATATTTTTCACTTTTGCAGGATTCCGATTACGAAGAGGAGTGTAATTTTTGTCTGTCTCAAGATCAAATTACTTCTTTTGAAAAACACAAAAAAAAAAAAAACCATTGAAGAAAGCATTTATATATTCAGACTGATATTCTTTGGTCAACGATATAATCTACGAAGAAAATAAATTGGCCACGAACCTAGAATCATCCGAAGATGACGTCAGTTTTACAACGCACGTCATGTTTCAATCATCATCGGCATTAAGTGAAGAAGCAGAAGTATTGGATAAATGTGAGGTTAGAAAGAGATTACAAAGAATTATTTGATTTATAGAATAAATTGTATATAAATTATTATGGAATATTTTTGATGTTAAACTCATTGTGTTAAAATCTCTTTAAATTAACAAAATTAATATTAATTATTTATCCTCAGTCTGTCACGTGTGTTGAATGGAGTAGTTTATTATATTCGAAACGATTCAAAACAGAAATTAATTTTAAACGTTTCATTCTATAAAGATTTTATTGGTTTCTTGAAAAATACTTTTGATAATGATTTTTTGTGCGTTAGATTGATTAATGTTGCAATTTTTCGACCGCTTAATTGTCACTGGAGAAATGTTGTCAGAAAACACAAGCAACAATCATCAAAATCAGTTTCTAAAACTAATGTTGCAGCTTTATTCATTGAAGCTTACAAGAAAGCTTTGAAATCCGAAACAAATTCAACATGGGTTTGAAACATGTCGCACCTCGACAAGAAAAGTGACAAAACAGAATAATGCAGTATTTGAGAAAAACCTATTTAAAGAATACTATAAAACTCATAGTATAAGCTGCTTTTAATTTCAGGTATTTTTGACGGTAAATTCTATTATATTCTATAGTATAGTAATTATGGATCTATATGTCGTCGAATGTGAAATGTTATCAGTTAAATATAGGTAAGGTGTTTGAGTTTTGTCACTTTTCTTGCCGGGGTGCGATGTGGTTTGTTTCTTTTTGATTCAGATATAATGGATTATTCAAAATGTATTTCTGCTAGGCGTAAGGAATTGTTTTCCGAAAATGAACCAGATTTATTAACTAATTAGGGAGAAGTATATAAATGTGCATTGCAAAATAATAGAAAATGAGATTCCATTTAATTTGTTACCAGATTTCAAGGAAACCATTGCATAACAATCAGATAAATTTAAAAAATTATTATTGCAATATAGCCTATGAAACACTTTTGTATGGATTATCAAACTGATAATTTTTATAATCTTGTATATATATAATATTTTTGAATTATAAACCTTTTCTAAAATTTAATATTTTTATTCAAATTTCTTAATCTGAAAAAATTATATGATTGAATTACATAAAATTTCAACACATATGTAGTATACAATGGTATAAAATTGCATATAGTATCCTAAAACTTTAGTTACTGATTATTAGTCACTTGCGGTCATTCAGTAGCCCTCAGTTTGTCAATTACTAGGGCCATATGATCATTCATTGGTAATTTTTAAATTATAAAAACATTGTCATTAATTTAATAAATACTACAGAAAATTAAAAATTCAACCTTTGAATGAGTAATGCGAGTTCTTATTAACCGGCAACGATCATTATTTATTTTAAACGTCTGTTTGTTAATTGATTATAGTATATTCAAATCTCTTTATCAAGGTGCTTAAATATTTTCGTTGATTTTATTTTTTTATGTTGATATAATTTTAATAGTTACGTGCAAAAAAATTTTTTTAAGTCGGAAAGTAGGGACTTTCAATTCAATTTTAGGCTTCCCCCCCTCTTTCCGCTTTGCAGGCACGAAGAGAGCCTCTTATAGCAAGCCTATTATAAATTCGGCCAGGCCCACAATTTGGCAGTCGGGTGGTGAGGGACGGAGACCGCTATATCCGAACGGACCACCCTCGAAAAATTTCTGGGGATTTTTCGACCCAGTACGGATCCGATCCCAGGTATCCAGAGAGGTAGGCTGTCACCAAGGTCTTATAATCTAAGACCTTGGGTCCAACCATGGGCATCGATCTGTATAGCACAAAAGAGACATATCGCACAATATTTCTATATCAGCAAATTGTTTCCCTCCTAACGTGTTTTTATTTTACACCATACTACAAAACTTAAAAGTAGAAATGAATACTTGTGCACAACAAATACGCCTTATCGACCTTGATGGGTCCAACATATCCAGAACAGAGCATACCCGAAAAACTGGGGTTTTTCGACCGATCGAATTCGATCCAGGGTTTCCCAGAGTAGTAGACTGATGACTAAATTAATTAATTAATCAATTCGGCGATCTGGCCATAAACAGGGATTAGCGGATATCAAGAGACCACCAAAATCAAGCTATTTATAAAAAAAAGTTTGAAGCACAGACCCGAACACGCTCCTACCGCTCTGGGGGACTCGGGTTCGAATCCGATCGGGTCGAACAATCCCCAGGAATTTTTCGGGGGTGGTCCGTTCGGATATGTCGGACCCCGTCCCTCACCACCCGGCAGCCCCATTGTGGGCCTGGCCGAACCCATAATGGGATTGCAAAAAGAGGCCCTCTTAGTGCCCACAGGGCGGAAACAGTTAAAAAAAACCCGAACACGCATTTGTATCTTTCAGACCAAAAAACCGGACGCTTTTAACGTCTCGTCCATCCCAACGACTGTATACTACAAGGATAGCCAGATCCCTATTCTACAATGTTAGCCAGGAATGCCAAGTTAGTGACGTCAGCACGAGTCCTGACCTCTCTGTTTACATAGAGCAGGGTGTGCACGTGTTTAGTTTTCGCTTTTAATATTCGTCCAATTTTGTGATTAACGAAGTGATTTATTTTAATATTTCTGTAATTGTTTTATTTGACTAAGTTTTTTATAAGGTAAGATGATTTAAATATAAGTCATTAAATATNCTTATTAAATCCGAAAATTCTACAGTAGTTTACATTTAGTAGTAATTTAATAATTAATTAAGAAATGATTTAATATTTTATCGTATTTTGTTATTTGAAAGATCTGTCGTGTTGAAGTAGAGAGCTTGCTGTGACGTCACATAGATCCAAGGTCACGCTAACAAATATACGGGATCTGGCTATCCTTGTAGTTTAAAGTCCTTGCTCTGAGCCAGGTTCCCGTAGGCCCTGCCCTAAAGATGGCAATAGCGTGTTTCCCTTTCCCTATTTACTGTGTTAAAATGACCTCGTTAACGCTGTTTCGTTTAGCGCTTTGTCGTCTAAAAACGTATCCTCGCGTTAAGCGTGGTCTTACTGTATTTTAATTATCATAAAAGAGCACAAAGCTTAATTTTGAGGATAAGGATGGATTTTATAATTAAAAAAATTGTAAATGCTATTAACGAGTAAAATCATCATTAAGTTTTTCCCCCAATTTTTTTTTTTTTCATTTCTCCACCTTTCAATGTGTCCTAAGTCCAAAATGTAAAAGTTTTGGGATCAGTTTTTGACCGATCGCCATGCTTTGTTATATATAACAGAGCCGGGAAAGTGAAAAAAGCACTGAAAACATACAAGCATAACGCAAGAGCGAGCGAGAACTTGGGCACCCAAAGTGTTTAAGCTTCGGGTGCATCTTTTCCACTGCACGCACAGTTCAAAATCCGAAACGAATTTTTGTCTAATTTAGCGTTTGAAGTACGAGATATCACTGTATTTATAAAATTAATATTTAAGCTTGATCCACAATTTCGCGTTGGCGAGTTCCAGCGAGCAGGAAATACCCGGTACATACTTTTAATACTCACGTTAATAGTTATTGACCAGATGGCCAAGCGGTTACCTGTCTACTACTCTGGGGGACTCGGAACGAATTCAGACAGGTCGAAAAATCTCGGCCCACCAGTGACCAAGCGATCTTCGTACCCTGAACACGGAGTTCGGTCGTGGGTTCGCGCCTCGCTCGGTCGGGCTGGCCACGTGGAGTTTTCCGGGTTTTCTCCATGTCTGTAACGCCTAAATAGGGGACAGTTTCCCTTAAAAAGGCCTTCCCCTAGGCAGATCGCCCAAGTGTTGCTTTGCCATAACTAAACAAACTGAAACCGAAAAATCTCAGGACTTTTTCGGAACGCAATTTCTTGCAATTGGATATTCTTTAAATTTTTAAAAAACTTTTTCCGCCTAAGAGGGTCTTCTTTAAAACGTCCATTGTAGGTTCGGCCAGGCCACAATGGGGCGGCTGGGTCTGAGATAACTGGACGGATAACTGAAAAATTCCTAGTTATTTGTCGAAACCGTGTCTTCTTTTTCTTGTTTCTTCTAATTCTATGTCACGACTTGGTGCATTTATCGACACTTGGCACAATACATACATTTTAATTCATACAGAAACGCGTTTCGGGCTTCCGCCCCTCTTCAGTCTGTTACATCGATAGTATACGGTATCAGTCTGGGATTTTCCGTACTTCCCGCTCCCTTCCCCTCCCATCTTCTCCCGACTTGACGGCCTCCCCCTTACGAGGCATGCGGGGGAGGCCGTCAAGTCGGGAGAAGATGGGAGGGGAAGGGAGCGGGAAGTACGGAAAATCCCAGACTGATACCGTATACTATCGATGTAACAGACTGAAGAGGGGCGGAAGCCCGAAACGCGTTTCTGTATGAATTAAAATGTATGTATTGTGCCAAGTGTCGATAAATGCACCAAGTCGTGACATAGAATTAGAAGAAACATGAAAAATTCCTATTTTTCGATCAGTCTAGATTCGGGGTCTCCATAGCGTAAGGCTGCCATTCTAACCGCTCGGCAGTCTCTTTAAATGGTTTTAAGTCAGTGGCCGTTGTTCAATTTGAGTGTACTTAGATACAATCAAGTTCTTCAATTTATTATTTTTAATATTTAAGGTTGTTCGTAATTTTCCGATTTTAAAGTATTCAAAGTAGCAAGCAGGCAAGCAAGATCTTGTGCAAAAGCTTTCAGATTAAAGTAATTCAGTGGTTTAATTATTGTTTTTCTATTTATCGTACCATGCGATTATCACATTCAGTTATACATATTTACAGGAAAGGTGCCATTAGAGGAATTCATCCCTTGAGTTATATCTTTTATTCCATTGCTTTTATATTGCTGTTGCATACCTCTTTGGAAAATTCTGGATCGAATCCGGGCGAAGCTCCAGAATATTTCGTGCAGTAGCACCAACTTATATGGATTCACCAATAATTTGGGCACGATTTATTTCTTCGTAATTTAGAACGATTTGTGTTTATTATTATTCCAAAATTTTACAACCAGTATAGTCTCATTTTGAGTCCATCTAATATATTTACAGTTACTAAAAAGTTGGCACCAATTATTTCGTGGGTGTCTGGCCCGGATATATTTGACCTAATCATCACTCGCGTGCCCACTGGGAATGGATGAACCTACAATCGGCTTGGAAAAAATGCACTTTTAGAAACTGATGTAAATCAAGCAAAGTAGTAATGTCATCATTATTTTCGATTTTGTTAACAAAACGTCTGAAAGTAATACTGCATGTGCAAACAAAACATAACGTTACATGGTCAAGGCAAAGACAGGAGAGGACAAATGACAAAAGTTTGCCCCTTTTTATCTCCATCCCCATCGTATGGTCAGCAGAAAGCAAAGTACCCCTAATTACGTTATCAGATTGAAAGTTTAAATCATTTGCAAATACACAAGAGTTATTTTCACTAGTCAGACAATTTTACAATGACTGGGAAGAAAAAAGACTGGTACAATCTTAAGTCATCAAAGACTAAACTTCTCATCGGCAATCGCCAGAAACAAACGAATTCTCTCTCCATCATAAATTGGTGATTTAATACAAGTACACCACCGAATTTCTGGCACTCTTGGTTCGAAAGCCTTGCTGGATTAACTATTTTGTCAAATCAACCATGGTCACATATAATAATAATTCATCAACACACCTAAGCCACTAATTATACATCTCCCATGTGTCTAAAGTATACCATGGATTGCTAAAAATTTACATAAAATAAATAAATCAAATACAAGTACCGTACTTGTACAGTGGTAGCCAAAGTTTAGGACCAACAATGAAATTTTAAATAATTTATCTGTAAGTAAAAATTAAATCTGCTAAATAAAATATAACAAGTGAAAATAATTACATTATTTCATTACATCTGCTTATACAAATTATGTATTTTTGTGCAGTAAATTCAGTGCATCATTAATTTTAATTTGTAATATAATTTGTCATTGTCATTAACTTAATTTGTCAATAATTTTCTGGAGTGCTGGTCAAAAGTTTAGGACCAAACAAGAAATATAGGTATTAAGTGCTTTTATGTAAGTATGAATAATAAATATACATTAACATGAACACAACAGTCTAAAAATGATTTTAATTTTTAGAAAATATGGAAAAAATAGAATTTGAGTTCAGCAAATAAAGATGCTTAAAGTTGATGGATTGAGTTATCAAAAAATTGTGAAAATAGTGAATTGCAGCAACAGTTCATGTGTACAAGCAGCGCAACTATTTAATGAAACTGGTGAGTTTACGAGTCATCCAAAGTCTGGATGGCCTGGAAAAAGTGACAAGCATACTGACTGCTGTCTGCATTGAATGTCAAATCAAAAATAAATCCAAATTTCACTTTGAGAGAACTACAATTAAAATTGTCTGAATATGATGTGCCCATTATTAGTTGATGCACTATTAGACAGATTAAATGAATTCTAATTATTTGGAAAAATTTCCAGGAAGAAGCCACTTATCTGTAAAAAAAATGGAAAAGCCAGGTTAGCATTTGCAAAAGCTCATGTAAACTGGAGTGTTGATCAGCGGCAAAACATTTTGTGATTGGACAAAAAGAAAATAAATCTATTTGGTAGTGATAGGAGAAAGTACAGTATATTCAATGTAGTAAAGGAGAAGAATATAGTCCTGCTTGCCTGCAGCCTACAGTGAAGTTTGGAGATGGCAGCATGGGATGCTTCTCATGACATGAAATTGATCATATCCATCAAATAATATGGAACAACATTAGTACAGATCCATACTAGAAAGCGATGCTTCTCTATCCTGACAATAATTTACTTTTAACATGGAAATTCTAACATGATAATGATCCTAAACATACTAGTAAATTGTTAAAAAATGGTTTCAAAATAATTATATTAAATTACTTGAATGGCTACACAATCACTAGACTTAAATCCCATTGAAATGTTACAGGGTGTTGTGAAAGTTAATTCACAAACAAAAATTAAAAATGAATTGTTTGAGGCTGTCCTAAAAGCTTGATCCTCCATTCCAAATAACTTTGTAAACATTTAGTTCATTCTATGTCAAGAAGATGCAAAGCAGTCATAAAAAATTTTTGTTACCCTACAAAATAGAGGTTTGTTCTAGTCCTATACTTTTGTCCAGAGTGTGTATGAGCAGCACAACTATTGCAGCATCACCATGATTTGAATTTTATCAGCTTTCAAGAGACATATCGAATAAAATATTCATAAAATGTTTTAAAAAAATATGCATTAATTCATTTTCCAATAGTAAGAATACAATTGAGTGAAGTGTTAAAAAAAAAATGTCTTATTAACCAATAAAGTCTTACAATATTGCTTATACAGCTCTCTCTTAATAGTCCAACAGGTATGGGACCAAAGGGGTATTGGATTACCAAAATTGTCCAGATTACCGAAAATAATTACATATTTTGCATTGTTTTGCTAGCAGTAGCTTACAATATTCCCTACTCCAACTGCTCGAACAAAACTGCTCACAGAAAACACACAAAATGTGTGTCATCGTGTAAGAATTGGATGGAGAGATTCACATCGCAACATGCTTCTGTGCAAGCAGACACGTAACAGGGATGGGTATCTTGACGGGCAGTACGTCAGACTACTGAGCATGTCGGATTAAAAAACATCAGACTATCAAGGGAGAGCTGTATTAATTAAATAATTTATCTTAAGAGAGACATTGCATTTAATAAACAAGTTTTTATCAAAGCTTTTATTTACATAAAAGTTATTTTTTAAGACCTTTTCTTCGCAACTTTTCATTACGTCGATGTTTTTGATGAAATACAAGTTTGGCTTTTCTTTTCCTGTTTTTCAGAATCTCTTCTTTTGTTTTCAGTTCTGGACGATAATTCTTTTTATTCTGATACTTCTTCTTCAAAACAGCTATAAAATTATATAATATATATATATAAAAATTTAATACATTGGAAGTTGTTTAGAAATAGAAAAAAAAATCTGTAGCTGTTACATTTTCTTTAAAAGATCAATAATAATTAGGTGTTGATGATGATAGAAAAAAAAATTGTTAAAACTACTAAAAGATATTTAAAAAATCATGCAATGATTGTGTAACTTTCTTCACTATTATAAGATTTTATTTTGAAAAACATTTATACTATTAATCATAATAAATAAATGAAATTGTGTATGGCACCATCTGTTGAGATTTTGTTATAAAAAATTTTCATATTTTTAATTATTATAAAATGATAAAAAGCTTAGTTTTGAGGGTAGGAGTGGGATTTATAAAAATTTGTAAATGCTAATAACAAGCAAAATCTTCATTAAGTTCAACCCCTCTCAAGATATAACACATGACCTCCTTCTATCTCCCCACTCCCTGAACCTTTCAACACCAAAATTTATTAGCATCAATGCCCAATATACAAGGTACCATGCCAAATTTTGGTTTTTAATCTTCACCCCATCCTAAGCTATTACAGTGTCCAACAATTTCCAATTTCCCTGAGATTTCTAGGTTTTCCAGAATGAAAACCTACATTTTTCCCTGAATAACTGAAAACAACTCACAGCAGAAATTCAAAATAGTTCACAGTTTATTTGATGTTACCAAATGAAACTCATAGTTGTAAGGTTGTTCAATTCCATTTATAATTCTTCTTCTCAGTCCTATGCCCTTCAGAGAGCATGGTGATATTACGAATTGATGGCGTTAATTGTATCTTTCCACTGCTTCCAGTGTTGTGCCATGTGGATGGCTTCATACATTGTATGTCCTTAATCATCATTACTTGGTCTGCCCACCTAATCTGACATCTGCCTCTAGGGCGTTTGCCACTGATCTTCCCTTCTAGGATTTGTTTCTCAAATCCATTTTTGGATCTGGAAATATGTCCCAAGAAATGAAGGTAGGATTGGTATATTTTAGTGGTAAGGCATGTTGTGATTTTCAATTGATTTAGGATGGAGCAATCTGTTCAGTGCTCCGTCCAAGAGATTCTTGTTATTCTTCTATATGTCCATATTTCAAAGGAATCGAGTTTCTTCCAAGAAGTGGCATTTATGGTTCAGGTTTCTGAAGCATAAGTGGCAATCAGAAAAATAAGTGTTCTTATGAGCTTTAATTTATTAAAAATAGTGATTGCAGAATCTTTCCAAATTCTACATAATAAAAATAACTCTTAATTAATAAATCTACATAATTTAGAGGTTGCATTGTGAGCAAGGCAAATTCTGCATTTAATTTCATTATCGCATCCTCCTTTATTTGTAAGAAGTGTAAACAAATTCATTCACCACCTTATAGCCTGCAATTTCATTCTGTGTCAAAGAACGATCACTTATCATAACTTTTGTTTTACTTCCATTAATCAGCAATCCTATTCCCTGCTCTCAGTTTCAAGACGATTCATAATATATTCAAGTTCTGATTCATTGGATGCTATAATAAGTGTATCTCAGGTTGTTAACTTTAATTAATTTATTATAAATGAATTAAAAATTAAGCCATTTATAATAAATTAGGATTAATTTTTTCATTTTGATTAATCAATTCATGTATTGTTGCTTCAAAATATGCAGAAGATTGTATATCACATATAGGTTGTACATGACAATTTTATTAAAATATGGAAATTCAAATTGATACTGTCACAGCAAGGGTGTCACAGGATTGCTTCTGCCACATTGCTACATTTACCTGGCCTGCCCAATTCCAATTTGTCATTGATTGAACATATCTGGGATTACCTGGGATACCAAGTTGGACAGCCTAAGAGTTTGTCTGAACTAGAGAACTGCTTGCAGCAGCTGTGAACTGCAGATGCTGCAGGACACCATATGGCACCTGTATGCCTCCATGCCCGTCTATATCACATCATGTATTCATGCTAGAGATGGCCCAACAGGATACTAGAACCCCTTCCATTTGTAGTTTTTTTTGAAATAAACAATCCTTTTGTTTTCATTTTGTAATTAATCACTTACTTATATCACTGTTATACTTACACATGCACAATTTCATTTGATTCTGGCAACTCCTTTTTGGTGTGCAAATTTTTATGGCAATGAGTGTAGTATCATATATATAGTGTCTTCCAAAAAGAAGAATGACAGTAATTTAAATTATTGTAATGCTAATTATTATCTGAGAATAATGAATGGTACATTGTAATTGAACACTGAACTGTTAATGTACATTAAAACATTGAAAAACCATCCAAGTTTCACATTTGCACATTACAATTTCTCAATATGTGCATCTTATGTCACATGGCACACACCCAACCAATATTCAAATTCTTCCTATGCTCACTATGGCATATTCATTGTCACTGCCACAGTAGTCACAATTTTTTAGCTCCTGCAGATTATTCATGTTGCAAAATGACTAATTCTGACCTTGTGAACTGCAGAACACAAAATGCCTTCTCTGTTGCAGAGTTGACATTTTTGTTTACAGTGCTTTCTACAGGTGGTAGATGACAAAATGTTTGAATGCAGATGAGAGATGAAACTCAGACAGGGTATGTTTGTAAAGTCGAATGAGTTAAACGAGAATTACATCATTGTTATTCTTATTTCGTTAGACTTTTTGACCAATTCGTTTATAACTAAATGACTGTTTCTAAAATCGAAGATATGAATGTTGCTAGTGCAGCCTTATCCAACATATTTTTCTTAGATTGCATCAGGTGGGCAGTTATTTCTATCATTTCACCTTTTAATTCACAGTTTAAATACTTGAATAGATTTAGATTCATCGATATCGTCGGGCACCATTTTCTTAACAAAGTCAACTAACTCTTTCCTTGATGAACTTTTGTTCAACTTTGATGAACTTTCCTTGATAGAGTTTTGTTCAAAATGTCATAACCACAGAGCATGCACACTGAGCGAGACTACTACTTTTAGAACGATTTATTACTAATGCATTTAACTCGTTCAACTTTATGAACGTACCCACAGTTGCTCTATTGGTTGCTGTACATTACATACTTCTCAGGTGATAACATAATTACAATATTTTTTCTTCCACTAATATAGCTACCAATCTTGGCTATTAATCAGAATTTGTCATACCACAATTAAGATGATTAGATTAGAAAAAAAACTTCTTTATTCTTTAAATAACTCTAAAATGTACATTTCAGGTATTATATAAAAATGAACTAAACCATTTTCATAAACTAGCAAAAATCACAATGTTACATATGTTTATAAACTAAGATATACACAATCTTTACTTACAATTACTAACTTAAAATTTTTCTGTAAATAGTTTTCTTTCAAATACAATACAGTATTACCCTGACTTACGCGATTTTCAAATCTCATCGATTTGTCTTTTGTTTGAGCACCACGCAACTCTTGATTACTCACTCCCACCCACACTATTGTTCGGCTTACATGTTCAGACGTGTCGTACAGAATCGACACAGCTACAATTTATTTTGTGTTATTTATTTCTGTGCTTGTTATATCTATGGAGACTTGAGAGACTCTATGTGGTGATTTCTTGTAACCATGAACGAATCAAAAGACGAGATAAGATTAACGAGAACATTTATTAGCTTACATATGTCCGACTTGGATTTTACAAAAATTGCGAAATTATACCCCGATTTACGCGGTTATTGCTTGGTCCCACCTATTGGGTAAGTTTGGGGTATTCTGTACAAATTTTCTAAAATTTAAATAAACTACATTATTATATATATTTGTAAAACTATGAATAATATAATTCAACCTTAATGTCTCCTAACAACAATGATGGTAACCATATATTATTATTATCTATTTTTATTCCTTCATATTGCTAATACAATTATTAGTCGTTTTATTTTTTTTCTAAATGTTCCTTCAAATTTCTTTTAAATTTTAATTTTATCGAAATTTATTTTGCAACCTACTAAATTACAATGTTTTGCCATTACATAATTTTCATCAGGTTTAAAATCAGTTAGATTCGAACCTGTGCAAGCGTAGAACAATGATTATGAAATTAAATTTGAAAAATAGAACAGCACAAACAGATTTTAACAAAATACAGTTATGCATGTGCATTGCCATGGCGACGGAATTGCATATGTAATACATACAATTATATAAATATATATAAATAAATACACCAAACGGGGATGTGGTCTTTAATTGCTGGAGTGGGCGTCGCCCGTTACCTCATAGCAGTATTTCCAAGCATGGGACACATTGACCGCATCATTAGCATTAATGCAATTGGTGCGTAACCCGGCTTTGTAAATTTCAAGTGCCTCCAGATTTTGTAAGTGTTCCACCCGGTGAGAAACTTTGATCAGTTTGGCCTATGCTTGCACAGGTTTGAATCTAACTGATTTTAAACCTGATGAAGACCGAGGGTATGGTTGAAAACGTTTGTTTATTAGTAAATTGATTACTACTGGATGTTTAAAGGTTTTGGAGTTTTAATTTTATGGTTCCAGTATTCAAGTGAGAAGATTTTACTTCCTTTTTAAATTTATTTTTTACTGTATTGTTATAAATCTTTTAAAATATCATTTTTGATAATTTTATTTTTCATAACTTCTGTTTATTAACATAATTACAGGAACTAACTGTATCAAAATCAGTAAATACTTTTCCAATTTTTGAAAAAATTAATTTATTATAATAAAATTTTTTAAATATACAAGAAACTTTTTATAAGACATGAAGATAATTACAGTAATTTAAAATGGTAGCATTATTTTTGGAAGACCCTGTATTTTTGTTTGGGAAAGTTTAATAAATAGTTTTTCTGAAACCAACTAATAGAGAAAACAGTTACAAAGAATTTCTGTTCTTTGTAACTTACAACCAAAATAATCATCAATATTGAGAAAAATTTTTAAACCAAATAGAGTAAATTTATTTTTACTTCAGATAATACTAAATATTTACCTTTCATTCCTGGTCTTTCTTTACCAAATTCACTTTCTTCTACTTCCTCTTCAGTTGATTTCAAAGGTTGAGTTATTTTAAATTTATCCTTCCACTGTTTATATCTGATAAGATATTTTAAACAGTTTTGCTTAGGGTAATGTAATAAATAATTATCAATGCATAAATAAATCATAATATTACCTATCAGATTTATAAGAGGCGGGGATCCATACACCACTTTCTGTTTTAATTTTCTTATTTTTTGGATCATTGTTATCTCCTCTAATAAATTTTTTCTTCTTGCGATCCCTATTTCAAATAATGTAGTACATCTTTAGTCATAATAATAGTATTAAGACAGAAAAATTTTGATACTGTACAATATTAAATAACTTTAAAATGGCTTGTTTTGAACTATTTTAAAATCATCTGTAAATGTTTTAACAAAAACTTAAAGAAATTTAAATTGCATTTTAATAAAAGTTAAGTTTATTTTTCATGCTTCATTCCAAGGAACTAAAACTCAATGTTTTAATGCATTGGCAACACTGTCAAGAAGCTGTACTTTTCGCATCTTTTTTTTTCTCTGTAAGGAAAACCAATTAAAATAAAGGTAATGGTTCTTTTTTGTAGGATGAGGAACAACTTTGTTAATTTGCATTTTTACTCTATCTATCAGAATTTTAAAAATAACTGTTTTAACATTTTCTTTTGGTTCCTGCAGATGCAACTATTGGGATCAACATAAAAGCTCTTTGTCAGTATATAATAACTGCTAGGTTGAAATTTGCATCAATGTAATTTAGTAAACTGATTTTGCAATTTAACCAGTTTTTCAAGACTCCTAAACTTTCAACTCAACCTTTATTGAATATATTTCATACAATTCATTGAGTTACATCAATGCAAACATCTAAACAGTAATACTGGTAATTCCAAAGAAGCAAATGACATTTACATTGTTTTATCTATAAATATTTATGTCTCTAGCATTAACAATGTGTTTCTATTTTTCAAAAGTGACATGTTAAAAGTCATAACTAGACATATGCATATACTAGAAATACAATAATAGAATTTCTCTGCTTTAATTTACAATACTAAATGTATCAAAATACTTCTTAAAAATTACCATTTTAGTTTACTCTTCTGTTTATTTATTTCTGTAACATCATCAGTGGATAAATCTAAGATAGCATTGTTAATTTGTTGATCAAAATTTTTCTCAACTTCCAATCTAAAAATGAATATAAAATCAGCATTCTTTTAAACAAAAATTAAAGTAACTTAAAAACAAATTATGTTAAACTTTATAAACTGCATTTTTTGCACTTATACACATCTAAGTTTTTAAAAATAGATTATTTTCTAATATTTAAGCTGGAAAATGACTTAAGAATTCAATATATCACCTGTTGTAATATCATAAATACTAAACAAAATTTATATTTTCATTATAAAAAGCCCAGTTATATTAAAAGACAGTAGAGCATCATTTATCCAAATCAATTGGGGACTGGGTTGTTCGGATAACTTATTTTTCAGATAACCGATTATGTACGAAAAAAAATATTAACCTATCCCGTGTTGAAATTTTTCTCCATTGCAAGTCGCTTTGCGTTGAATTTTTGTCAATGTTAAACATAACGTAAACTTTTTAAAATAATAATCGTGACTATTGTATCATTAAAAATTATTTCTTTATTTTTTACAAACAAAATAAATATATTGAAAAATATAAAAACAAAAAAAAATTATACTTTAGAAGTTAATCTAGTATCAAAAACGTTTGATTCAGCATGACACAGTCCTCAGAAAAACACCATACAAAAGTGCCAGTGCTGCCAGCTAAAACACATACATCAACAAAAAAATATTGGAGTATCCCAAGATATAGCCAAAGATTGCAGCGCCACAGCACTAGCGAAAATTTAAATTTGCTGACTGGAATTCTTTCGGATAAACGATGTTCTACTGTAATCTCAAATAAATTAATCATATATTATTAAAATTTTCTAACATATATTTGTTTGATATAATAAATATTCTTTGCAATAATGATGAAAATAATCATATTCCTAAAAGTGGCATTGGCTTAAATAGAATGACTACATTGTTTATAACCCAAACTAGGTCAGTTTTTAAGGGGTACATTCATAAAGTCAAACAACTTAAATGAATTACTAATAAGTCAGTCATAAAATATAAATTCCACTCAGTGTGCATGCTCAATGTTGATGAAATTTCAAACGAAACTCTAATGAAATTCATGACAGAAAGAGTTAGTTTACATTGTGAAGAAAACAGCATCCAATGTTTCTAAATTTGCTCAAATATAAAATTATGGATTAAGAAATGAAATGACACAAATAAGCACCCACATGAAGCAATCTGAAAAAAATATTTCAGATAAGACTACATTAGCAACATTCATAATTTTGATTTTATAAACAGCCATTTTGTTGTACAGGTATCCCTTGATTAACAAGGTTAATTAATCCCTTGATACTACTGCATATATCAAAATTGCATTAATCAAATACAGTGGTACCTCAGTACTCAACCAAACAATCACCACATGCTAGAACAAATTTTTGGTTAACAACAAATATTTTTATTTTAATAAACAAAAATAGCAAATTCACTAACACCTTATTTGCTGAGAAAAACATATCTATGTTAAGATAGATGTTAAAGCTGCACTAATTTAAACTTTTGCTGCATATAAAAGAGGGTTGCTGCAATTAATTTCACACATTACTCAAAACTGCATTAAGCAAGGGATACCTACAAATGAATTGGTCAAAATGTCCAACAAAAGCAAGAATAATAATGATGTCATTCTCTTTTAACTCATTCCACTTTACAAATGTACCCAAGATTAAGTGAAAAATGGGCCTAAAAATGGCTAAACTTAAATTATTATTTTTAATTATTTATATATTGACCTACAAAATGGTTCTATTTAAAATTTTAATCTATTTTTGAGGATTAAAAATAAAAATCCAGGATCAATCTACTTAAACTGTGTAAAAGTGGTAATTTTAATTAATTTGTTCCATGAATATTAAAAACAAACAAAAAAAAAAAAAAATGTAAACAAGAAATTTTCATACAAAAATGTAAAAATTTGTAATGAAAAACTTACAAAAATTAGTTGATAAAAGATTTATCTAAACTTTGTTTTATTCATATTCACACTAATATATAAATAAATTTAATACTTGAAATTTGTCTAATACCTAAAACAATTCAAATGATAAAACACGTTAGCAGTTTTATCTGTAATAACTGTTAAGTAAGTAATTTTATTCATGTTGACAATATAATAATAATAAATTAATTTTAAATTGTCATCAATCTTACCCTTTCTCTGAATGATGATATTCTGGTCTGTACGAAATATAAAAATCACCATTCTTATAACTTTTCTTTCTTTTTGTATTCACTTTATTACTTTCAGTAAAAGTAATTTCTAAAGTTTGTGATCTTCCATTATGATCCATAACCATTTCCTATGAAATACGTTAACATAAATTTACCCATATTAAGAAATATACATCAAAAAATAAATAGTAATAATGTTTCAAATACAATTCTATGTGCTGTAAGTTAGAACTTCCAAATAAAAACAACTCACTTTTTCTAGCATGTTTTAATAAAATGAACTAACATTTTTAGCTATTTTAAATAGCCTTCCTCAGGTTTAACATAATTTCGAGTGTCAATCAGAACAAAATATTTAAAATTTCAAACTTTGCTTGTATTCTTATGACGTCACAGTATTACAAAAATTGGGATTTTTAAAATTATACAATTTAAATAAAATAAATGTAGAAATAAATATTAGAATTATAAGTTAAGTTTAAACATAGTGAAAACATTCATGCAGATATATAAACTTATATATGAAGAATTAAGCAGAAATAATAACTAAATGACATATTAAACATATTAAGAAATATTTATAAAAGAATGCAGTGATAAAATGGTAAAGTCACATGACATAAGAATGTAAGGATGGATAACTTAACTTTATTCTTTTAAGGGGTTATCCATGAGCTCAACAAATAGATCACTAACAAAAAGGATATTGGAGCATAAGTACAATACTTATAATAATAAGTTTAATACCACTCTAGCCCAATATGCGAATAAACTGGGTATAACAGCCAAATGGCAAAAGAAAAGATTTTTGCTTAAAGTTAAAAAGTGAGGAAAGTGAGTGACTCCAAGGCCTGATTGTGTGTTAGTTTACAAATGTTTGACTCCATCATGAATAAATTGAAAATATACAAAATATTTTTTTATATTTTATAGAAATCAAATCATAATGAATCTGAGGATGGAGTACACCAACTCCAAAAGACATCTAATCCAGTAACAAGGTGGTTTGATTTCTATAAATATATATTTTTATTTCTTGTCAATGTATATTGCATATTAATTTTGCTTTTCATCTCAAGAAATTCAAATTTTTTGATAATTTATACACTTACTGTAAAATCATCTTACCCTACCTTGGTTTCAGCTTCATGCAGATCTGAAATATTTTCATCAAACTCTTTTGAACAGCTGTCAACTGAAGGAAAATTTCTTGTTTTATTTATTATTTTGTTATGATATTTTCTTTTAGATCTCATGATTTCACCAGCTTGACTTTTTGCAGTAGATCCAACTTCAAATATTGTCTGAAAAAATTTATTAAACAACATATTATAGGATTCTACTTAAGCAAAATAAGTTAATGTCTTTTCCTCTGAAAAATCACATCAAATTATATTATAAAATGTTAATCTAAAATTATTTTTTAGTAGGCAAAATATATTTTGCAAATTAAAATTTAAATAATTAACTAGTTTTTCCTTTAATTTTAAAATTATATTTAAATACTTTATTAATATCAAATTAAGAACTATTGGACATTTGGCTTAATTGTAAAGCTGGGTATCCATGAGTGATTTCATTGTTCCAAGCCAGAATATAATTACATGAATTATGCACAAATCACACTGCTGGTATCACCTAAGCTTCATTTGCTCACTATCTACTGAAAAAAGAAGAGTAAATCAAAGATAGATGATAAAATCAAGATAGATGATAAAGATGCAATCATCTTAGTAACATGCCTGTTTTTTGTGAAATAAAAAAATAATAATAATAAATCAATGTTTAATCATTTTTCATCTTTAAACTTTCCATTGCTTTTATCAAAAATGTTAGGAAAATAGCAAATTTCTATTAATTTCAAAATTGCTATATTCATCCATCTAGCTATGTTGTAGAAAATGACACTGAATCATCTGATGATGTTTACTTGTTGCTGATTGGCTTTGTCTAATTTGCACCTAAGTACATGATTTTTATCATTTTTTCTAAGTTGAGCATGCAGAGTGTTGAAAGAGCTCAAATCACATGCCAAAATTGCTGATTTGAATACCCAGCTTTAGTAATTTTAGACTACAGATAATTTTATATTATTATATGAAACTTTAAAATTCTTCCTGATAATCTACTCTAAAACATATTACAAATCAATTTTTATAATGTTTTACTAATTAAATTACAAAAATACCTCAAAGTATCTGAACTTTTTTACCAAATAGAAGGGGAAAAATCTTACAGAATAAAACTTCAAATAATTTTGTATACTATAAATATCTTATTTGATTGTTAGAATTTCTAGAAGAGAATATGTTCAAAATACTTTAGTATATCATTTTGACATATTTCTGTAAAAACTGTGAATTAAAATTTAATTTACTTTTTAAATAACTCTTTCAAAATGAATTTGAAGAAGCTACAGATCAATTATATCTAATACTAACAGACCCCACCACACGTTGTTGTGGCTCAAAATGTATCTATTATAAATTTATAACACTTCCCCAGTGGGGGGAGAACTTTTGCGAAAAATTTTTTTCTTAGTGTACATTCTCTTGACGTACCCTATTAAAACGCAATCAAAAACGCAAAAACCCGCATCTAAAATAGTATCATAGAAGCCAAGTTCTTCACGGTAAGCCTTAATCCTGTCTCTCTCCCCCGGGGGGATATTGAAAAATTTGTTGTTAGTGTACATTCTGTTGACATACCCTATTAAAACGCAATCAAAAATGCAAAAACCCGCATCTAAAATAGTATAAATAGAAGCAGAGTTCTTTACCATAAGCCTTAATCCTAACCATCTCCCTTCAGTGGGGTTGAATTTTGACATGTATATTATATAAAAACATGTGCGTATTCGAATGCAGCGTTGTGTCAAAATTTCAAAGGAATCGGTAGGAACAAACGAACATTACATTTTTATTTATATAGATAGATAGAAGATGATCTGCTTTAGTTCATTTTCACAGAAAAGCATAATGCCTCACAGAAAAGCAAACTTAGGGTGTCGTACTCGTAGCGCCATCTGTTGGACATAAAATCCTTAACCTAGATTACATCTTTTAATTTATATGAATGTTTAACGGAATAATATACAGCCTATGTCCACCTTGAAGTTCCATTCTAAATATCGATGAAAGAATTTTTGAAATCGGATGAGTAGTTTCGAAGATTACCTGCTGCATACAAACTTACATATTTACAAACATTACCTCTTTATAATATTAGTATAGATTATAGATTGTTCGACATGTATTTATGTCTTCGACAGTTATGTAAAATACATGTCACGGTTTTCTGTGAGTACATAAATATATACTCACAGAATATGTACCATTAAATAAAATGTTTTAACCAAATTGAAGTTTAATATAGTAAAAGTTTTTAAACCTATAAAATATTATCTAAATATAATCTATCATAAAATAAATACAAAAAAAAAATCTCAAAATAACTAATAAATATTGTATTGTGCCATCAATTCTCTTAAAACTTTAAAGTTTAGAATAATTTGAAATATTTAGCTACATTATTAACAGTTGAAACTGGCTTAAGCAACAAAATTTAAACACTACATTCAAATTTTATTGTAAAATTTAAAATATTCCAAAGAATAGCATCACAAGTGCACTAAATTTATTTTTAAAGTTATTACAAAAATATGTATAAATATTCTTTAATAAAAAAGCTGGCAAGGGCTCTTGCTTGATTTTCCTGGCACTTGAACAGAAGGTTAATTGGGCCATTAGGAAGTTTGATAATTTTCAGTTATACTAGGATATAAAATTTAAGCAATAACAAAAGCTTAAGAGGAGTAATTTTATTGAATTATGAGAAATTTCTCTATTTAAGACAATATTTAAATTTAAAAAACACTAAAATACATTAGTACAAAGTTAAAATTTAGTGATGTAATGAATATTCGGTTACTATTTGGTATTCGGCCGAATACTGAATATATAATCACTATTCGGCCGAATACCAAATACCTAAAAACACAAGTAAGAAATAACAAAAACTCAGTAAATTAATCATTTTGGTATTTAGATTTAATGTTATCGGGTTAGTGTTGTTTATTTATATTTATTTATAACTTATAACATGCACAAAATAAAAAATAATAATAATATTAGTCACATGTATTCACAATTTATCAGCACACGTACACACCTATTCGTTCGAGAATCGTCACACATCTGAGGGGCTGACCCTGCCTATCCTTTTTAAGCGCTCGTCTTTGCTCTTCCCTTTCTCTTTCCTCCATGTCTCTAGTCCAAGTATGCCTATGCATACATTATAATATGCCCTAACGATACTTTCGATTCGTCATTTTCCGTCGTAGTTTTTCCATTTTATAATTACGTGACTCATAGCCTGGTGATAATGGAGAAAAGAGATAGATAGGACGTCGGTATATGCCAGTTATGATTTCACAGATTGGAGACAGCTTGGTACCGGAACGGTCCCAGGCTTTCGCCTGTGCACGCTAAGTGACTTTCATTACAAGCATTTAGCATTCCAAAGTCTATGACAACAATTGTTTGGTATTGACAGTTGCCGCAAATTTCGCGCCAATAAGCTGCTTCGACTTGCTCAATTATGTTATCAACTCAATTTCATATTTATTTTCACATTTTCACTTCGTGATCTTTCTCTGTTCCCTTTCCGTTATTTACACGTGTAGGTCATTTCATTGTTATTCACATTTGATATCATCATTTATCACATACTGCCATGGTGCGCTTATTTGTCCGCTACAACTGTCAAGAATTAACGCGATTGGCGAAGCATAGTGACAGCGGGCCAATACAGAGCGGGGTCCTTGCCATAATTAGGTTTGTGTGTCAATTTTTGTACGTGCATTAATCAAGCCGAATAGTTTGGCTGAATATTCGGTATTTGGCCTGAGGCCGAATATACTATTCGTTGCAACACTATTAAAATTGTGTTGGCACTATCTGTTATGACATTTTATTAAATAATTATTTCTATTCTATTGTTTATCATAAAAAGGAAAAAAAGCTTAATTTTGAGGGTAGAGATGAGTTTTTAAAAAAACTATGTATGTCAACAATTAAAATTTTCATTAAGTCCGACCCCACTCAAGATTTGACTTAAGACTCCCACTCTATTTCCACAGCCTGTAGATCTTCAACTGCCAAAATTTACTAACATCAATGCCCCATATATAGAAATAACCCTGCCAAGTTTCAAAATTTTTGGTCTATCCAGTCCTAAGAAATAATGCAAAATAGATGCTGACACACACAGAGAATTTTGTAAGGGTTTTCTTTTCTTGTGTTAACATTTTGGGCTCCTTAGGTGTAAAAACATCAAGAAATGCAAAACTGGGGAAATTAAAACTTAACCAATCACCATACTTTCCCTATGTTATATTCTATAATAGCCAGGAAACTAATGAAAACTGAATATCTTAACAACATACAAAGCATATTTGGATAGATATACAAGGTCAGTAGAAATCCAAGAAAAATTATTTTTTCACAAATGGCTAAACTATCACATCTGCTAGGGTCTGCATCATGTGACAGAAGTCATCTGACTTTTAATTGCATAATTGCAATGCTTGCAGTAAGTGTTTAAAATGGCTGTCAATTTATAATCTCACTAAATGGGAGGTTCATTCAGTGATTCAATTCCATTGCATGAAAGGATAAACTGCCACCAAAATTCCACTTCTCATCAACTTCCTGCCTTGAGGAGATACTATAAATGCTACTGCTTATTGTGAGACTAAAAAGTTGCATCAAATATTAAAAAACAAATGGCAAGGAATGCTAATGCAAGGAGTCTGCTTACTGCACAATAATGCCCATCCACACAATGCTCACATCATAGAATATATGTTATAGGCATTTGAGTTGAAAGTTTTGGAACATCCATTGCACAGCCCAGATCTCACACCAAGTGACTATCACTTGTTTCTGAAAGTTAAGGGAACAACAGCACATGTAAAAAACAGAACAGTACAAAATATTCGAATATTTTGTACTGTTCCATATAAAGTACACTTTTTTCAATATTTGGAATTGTTGTTTTAAACATAATGGTATTCTCTGTCAAATAAAGAACTGTTTTTTCTTTTTTTATTTCCTGATGAGGCCATCTAAATAGTGGCTGAAAAAATTAGAACTTTACAGTTATTTGCTGGTAATTGAATGTAGGTGTTAGTTTAATTTCAGTTTAGGGAACATCTCTCTGGAAAGACGTTTGATGATGACCAAGCTAAGTTGAAAGACAATTTGCCACTAAGTGACATGCCTATTGCTAGAGAACTTTATCAATCATATTTTCTCATCCACTTGCAAATCTCCAATGCAATTTTGTGAACATTAACAGGGCATGACATTGTCCCTACACACATTGATGAGCTGACAATGGATTTTGGCAAGTGAAACCTTTTCATCTCACAAAAACAAGTAATTGCTTGAACTTCATCATGAGACTACTTCTCTAACCTTTGTTGTTATGTTAGTTAATACAGTAAAAATGTTACATCACAACTATCTGACATTCATGTCATTTTAATCATTCAATGTTGCCAGTCTAGGTCATTACTAAGTTATTTACATTGGATTTACACTCAATAATGCTTTGGATTTTAAAATGTGGCCCATGTAAAGTATTTTTGATCATTCAGAGTTTTATAATAATTATAAAAACATTCACAATTGTAAAATTAATACAATCAATAACTGGTTGATTAAATTCTAATACATAGAAAAACAGACAAAGGTCTTATAATTTTAAAAATATGAGAAAATACCTGTAAATAACAAATGTAATTTTGGAGGTGTTTTAAAAATAACTTTCGCTCTTCTAACAGATTCTGAAGAAGGAGCTGGACGAGACTTAATGTATTGTTTGTAAGCATTTTCACAAACTTTCTTTAAATTCCTCTAAAATTTTAAAACAAATTAATTTCAGACTTTTAACATAATACATTAATATAACATTATACTTACTAAATCAATACACGATTGATGCCATTCTAATATCAGATCAGCTTCTTCATCAATTATACTTTGAGGTGCAGAACCACATAAATCATTTGCTATAAAATACATATTTATTATTATACATAACTTATACAGGATATGTTAAAAGTAATAGGACAATGTGTAGAGTACTTTCCACTGATGTTGTAATCAATAATCAGTGGTGAGTGATTGACCACAAGATGGAAAATCTGACTGATTAGTTGATGTATAATTAATTTAAACAAATCCTTGTTTTGCAATAAAACTAACACTTTTAATATTACTAACACTTTTAATTAACACTTTTAATAATATTTAATAAAACTAACACTTTTTAATATTTACCACAATATTAAAAGTGTTAGTTTTATTGCATCATTCTACTACTTCTGATGCACTATATATATCAGGATATATTGAAATTTTTGATTACTGATAGCCTAGTCCATGGGTCGGCAACCTTTTGAGTCGGAAGAGCCAAAAATTACAATTTACAAAATTTCAAAGTTTTTAAAGAGCCGCAAAATTTTTTTCTTGCCAACAATAAATAGTACTCGCATAAATAAAGTTTTCTGATAAAAAAACTAATCTATTTATTCAGAATTGTCTTGCGTCGAAAGCGAATTAAACCTCATAGAAACATCCGACGACGGCGTCATTCGAGAGCTTCCGACGGACTGACGACAGTGACGACGCGTGTCACGGAGGAGGGGTGCGATGAAAAGCGAGTACAAGTGGCTAAGAGATAGGATCGNAGTCTCTTCTTTATCTGATGTAAAAGAAAAAAAAAAAACATTAATTTTTTAGATATTTAAAATATTTTTGAAAAAATAAAGAAAAATTTAGTTATTGAGATTAATATGTGGGATGATCAAAACATAACTTTACAAAGCCATTAACACAGACAAATACTTTTTTATTGAAAGGAAAACATACAGCATTTATCTGCAAGGAATATACTATTTCTTTAAAATCACTTAGCCCATTTGGAGATTTATCATAATGTTTAATGAGGTCATCCTGTCTTCAAAAGTTTCATTTCTGCTGCCAAAGTCACTCAGCAATGAGAGCTTTCATTTCTTCATCAGTAGCAAAATGGCAACCATGTATATATTCCTTCAAGTGTGAGAAAATGTAAAAGTCAGATAGTGCCAGATCTGGGCTGCATGGGGATGATAATAAACTTTCTATCAATCATTATTCACAAACCTTATGGTATCAAATTATTGTGAACAATGTGCAATATGGCTCTATATGCCAAGCTAAGTTGAAAGACAATTTGCCACTAAGTGACATGCCTATTGCTAGAGAACTTTATCAATCATATTTTCTCATCCACTTGCAAATCTCCAATGCAATTTTGTGAACATTAACAGGGCATGACATTGTCCCTACACACATTGATGAGCTGACAATGGATTTTGGCAAGTGAAACCTTTTCATCTCACAAAAACAAGTAATTGCTTGAACTTCATCATGAGACTACTTCTCTAACCTTTGTTGTTATGTTAGTTAATACAGTAAAAATGTTACATCACAACTATCTGACATTCATGTCATTTTAATCATTCAATGTTGCCAGTCTAGGTCATTACTAAGTTATTTACATTGGATTTACACTCAATAATGCTTTGGATTTTAAAATGTGGCCCATGTAAAGTATTTTTGATCATTCAGAGTTTTATAATAATTATAAAAACATTCACAATTGTAAAATTAATACAATCAATAACTGGTTGATTAAATTCTAATACATAGAAAAACAGACAAAGGTCTTATAATTTTAAAAATATGAGAAAATACCTGTAAATAACAAATGTAATTTTGGAGGTGTTTTAAAAATAACTTTCGCTCTTCTAACAGATTCTGAAGAAGGAGCTGGACGAGACTTAATGTATTGTTTGTAAGCATTTTCACAAACTTTCTTTAAATTCCTCTAAAATTTTAAAACAAATTAATTTCAGACTTTTAACATAATACATTAATATAACATTATACTTACTAAATCAATACACGATTGATGCCATTCTAATATCAGATCAGCTTCTTCATCAATTATACTTTGAGGTGCAGAACCACATAAATCATTTGCTATAAAATACATATTTATTATTATACATAACTTATACAGGATATGTTAAAAGTAATAGGACAATGTGTAGAGTACTTTCCACTGATGTTGTAATCAATAATCAGTGGTGAGTGATTGACCACAAGATGGAAAATCTGACTGATTAGTTGATGTATAATTAATTTAAACAAATCCTTGTTTTGCAATAAAACTAACACTTTTAATATTACTAACACTTTTAATTAACACTTTTAATAATATTTAATAAAACTAACACTTTTTAATATTTACCACAATATTAAAAGTGTTAGTTTTATTGCATCATTCTACTACTTCTGATGCACTATATATATCAGGATATATTGAAATTTTTGATTACTGATAGCCTAGTCCATGGGTCGGCAACCTTTTGAGTCGGAAGAGCCAAAAATTACAATTTACAAAATTTCAAAGTTTTTAAAGAGCCGCAAAATTTTTTTCTTGCCAACAATAAATAGTACTCGCATAAATAAAGTTTTCTGATAAAAAAACTAATCTATTTATTCAGAATTGTCTTGCGTCGAAAGCGAATTAAACCTCATAGAAACATCCGACGACGGCGTCATTCGAGAGCTTCCGACGGACTGACGACAGTGACGACACGTGTCACGGAGAAGGGGTGCGATGAAAAGCGAGTACAAGTGGCTAAGAGATAGGATCGGTGTCGAATCCTCGTTAATCGATTCAGAACGTTTTTTAAATGTTTTTTTTTTGATAAAATAAATAATATTTGCGTATGGAACTAAAGAGCTGCAGCTTCACATCCAAAGAGCCGCAGGTTGCCGACCCCTGGCCTAGTCTATTTTTCTCATAATTTCTTATATAAATATGACAAAATAAAATAACACCAATTTTAAAATTGAATATTGTATTACTTAAATAGTGAAAACCTACTTTCGTCTGAGGTATTTTCTGAAAAATGTAATGGTCTATTTAAAAACAAATAGAGATCTAATAAATAAGCTGCTTCATCAGGTGCTATTAGTGAATATGCAGAACCACTTCGACCAGCACGAGCAACACGACCTGTCAAAAATGAATGATAGAGAATGGAGTATTAAAAACATTTTATTTAACAATCAAATACTACTTATAAAATACTGTGTAAATCATAGTGCTTAAATATAATGTTCAATAAAAAAAAGTGTAATTAATTCTATACAAACTTAGTATTCAATGCATTAGTTAATTATACTATTACAATACATTGTCTGTTTTTATATAAAATTATCCAATTTTATCTTTAATAAACTATATAAACAAACCAATTTGTAAATGAATTATTATCTAATAATATACAGTGGGTGATTGGTTAACGAACATAATCCGTTCCAAGACTTTGTTTGCTATTCAAATTATTTGGTAACTGATTATCGATTTATCATAGGTTTTTATGGGAATTTGATTAATTTGTTCTGGAGACCCCAAAAAATAAAAAATATATATTTTCTTACTATGTTTATTCATATGTAATAATAACACAGTGTCGGGCGGGTACTCATTAAGTTTTGTGTCGGTTTTTATTTTCGAAAGGTGAGAGTATAATAGCAAAGGTGGGCAGATGTCTGATGTCTGTTGTTGCTGGGCAGTATGGCTTGAACAGGTCTACAGTAGGCCGCAGTTCAATCTTATCTAAGAAAGATACTGTATTATCAAGAAGACTCAAGCAGCTAAAGGAGTAACAAAAATCACATCTGAGAAATAAAGAACAATAAAGAGCTCATAATGGAACATGAAACAGATCTGACAACAGAAGAACGTCAAGAACTCTTGAATAGAGAACACCAAGAAACTCGGCAAGATATGTTTTATTCTGAAAAAGAGGATTAATGCCGATATCTGCTATTAATTAAAGATTTGAAGAAGTGGGAGGATGTCAGAACAACGATCTTAGAATGGCATACAAACCAGGTTGAGGTTAATAGGATTGGGGATTTCTACAATTACAATGCTATTAATTACTTCTGAAAATTCTGAAGAAGAGAGAAAAGCAATCGACATTGGATAGATTCTTTAACCCCCACAAACAGAAAAAACATAACTAATAAAAATGCACATCTGTGTATACATATAAACAAACGTAGTAAGAAAGTATACATTTTTTTATTTTGGGATGTCTCCAGAACGAATTAATCAAATTCCCATACAAACCTATGGTAAATTCATAATCGGTTAACGAACAATTCGGATAGCGAACAAAGTCTTGGAACGGATTATGTTCGTTAACCGATCACCCACTGTATATTATTATTATCAAAATTATAGTAAAACCTGTATAAATTAGAATTGTACGGTACAAAATTTTTTTCTGTTTTGACATGTTCCATTTTAAACAAATTTTATTTTACTTGTTTTTATTTTAATATTCTAAATACATAAATTTAGTGTGTAAATTTACACATAGATTTTTAAAACTATAAATAAAGGAATTTTATTCTAAAATATCAGATTTTGACTTACCTACTCTGTGTACAAATAACTTCGGTTTAGCTGGGAAATTGTAATTGATTACATTATCCAGATGTGGAATATCAATACCTCTTGCTGCAATATCTGTTACAATAAGTATACCTATTTTGCGTGATCGAAATTGTGCTATATTTATTTTACGAGCAGTTTGATCTAAACTGCTGTAAACATAGGTACATAAAATATTGGCTTTTTCCAAAATCTGAAATGCAATACATTTTTCAAATTATGATAAATAAAAACATTACAAGTTTATAAATTTTCATTTATTTTACATCAATTATTCTTACTATTTTGATATATTCAGCATGATGTCTAGTAGCTACAAATATAACAGTCAACTGTCCTTCCTGAACAACAAATTTTAACAGATAGAGAAGAATGGCCAATTTATCTTCTGTCCGAGAAAAAATATATGAAGTCTATAAAAAAATATTACAATTATATATTAACAATTCATTGACTATATTTTATTCAATCATGTAACAAAACATGTGAAATTTTCTTTATATTATGTTAACATAATATTGTTTTAGCAAATATAGGTCAGTGATGAGCAACCTTTTCTGAATTTGGAGTGAAAGTAAACTTCACAGGCTTCTGGTGAGCCACATGCAATTTTCTTATGGAGTTGTAGACTTTAAGCCTGTTGAGTATCAATGTACACAGAACTATCAGTACACTAAGTAGTAAAATAATATATACAAACTAGTAATATAAAACTAGTAATTTCATCTTTTCACTGATTGAGTTTAGTTTGAATTTGTCATAAATATCAGCATAATTAAGAAATTAAAAGTAAAATATAATTAATTAGAGACAACTAACTAATGTTGCTTATGAAATGACATTATGGAAGGAATGGTTCCAGGCAGAAATGAGGAAGAAGGAGAATTAAAATGGTGGATGACTTAACCTATCCCATGTTGAAATTTTTCCTTTGTGTGTCGTGCCATGTTGAAATTTGTGGAACAAAAATTACATGTTTTTGAACAAAATAATCATGGCTATTGTATTGTCCGAAATAATTTTATTATTTTGCACAAACAAAATAGATGTATTAAATTCAATCTAGCTACCACTAATGAAATTTACAATTGCTATAATGGTGTAAGAAGACTCCTAAATGTAAAATCTTAAATACTACATGTTATTCTAAAGCGGAGATATGTTTAATTTTTGTTATTGAATGTTTATTTTCCATCTTTCTTCATTGTCATGTACCCCCTTGTAATAGGCGACTGCCTATTATGTTCAATAAACTAAACTAAACTAAACTAGATGTATTAATAAATGTAAAAACAAAAAAAATTATATTTTGGAAGTTAGTTTTAATATAAAAATTATAATAACTAGCAACATCTAATTTCAAAAATGTTCCGATACTGCAATATCTCAGGTCCACAGGTCAAGGTCATGAGGTCACGAGGTCACAACCCGAGATGTCAGGAATACCAGGGAATAGGTTAAAAGAGGGTAGTTATAAGCTAAAGATAAGAGTGCAGGATAGAGTAGCATGAAAAAAAAAAAAAAAAAAAAGGTGGTGCTCACCAGACCTGCTATAGCAGTTAACTAAAGCTCATCCAAACACACAAAACCCAAACAGTGTACGAGATGTCCTTATAAGTCCATAGCTTNAGGTGGTGCTCACCAGACCTGCTATAACTAGCAGAAAACTAAAAAAGATGAACTAATATTAAATGTTAACAAAAACAAAATAAAAAAATAAAAAAACTTAATGACTAGAAGATGGATAAATACAGGGAGCTGCATATGTATGTCACAGCAAAAAATTAAATTATTTGAAAAGTACAAATGCAATTCAATTCAAGTGAAATACAATTAAGTAGTAAATGGACTAAGAAATATAATTTTCAAAATATTTGCCTATAGATACAATCAAATTCCATAGGTATTCATAAAACTGATCAATAATAAGGTATTTATTTGACCACTGCCAAAATTTCTTTTATTGAATTTCTAATATGCTCCTAAAGAATTTGCAGATTCTCCATTCAAGACACAAACTTTAGTTGCCTTCCATATTGCAAAGTCTAAGGAGTTTAAATTAAGCTATATGGGGACCATTTGATACTATCTCCAGTCTTTTCCAATGCATCCTGAGATATTAATTAAGAAGCAAATACAAAGCTTATTGTTTTACTTAGTGTACAGTGTATTAACTATCCCTCTATTAAACTCCCAAACACAACTCTCAATTTTTTAATATTTTGTTTCTAACAAAATATTAAAAAATTGTAGTATTTTTCCACCAAGACTTACACATGTTTGTTTATATAAGGCAATGTGATTTGCAAGTGATCTGCTGAGGAGGATGTCTCCTAGAAAGACTTTCTATGAGAAGTTGGCCTTATTTAGGTGTTACAAACATAAAATCCCAGAAAACTTCAAGTAACCAGCCCATTGGCAGGGTGTGAACCCACAACCAACTACATGTTCAGTGGACATACATACAGTATGTACACCCTGTAATGTTAATCACTAATAATCAGTTAATTTAGATATTTATTTATTAATATGCTAATTACAGCATATTTGATTAAAAGCTATTATTATTAATGCCATTTATTATATAGTTATTTAAAATAAAAAAAACTTTTCATTATACCTTTAAATTTTCACTTAATTTACTTTCCACATCCATTCGAATAAGAACTGGATCTCTTAAGCCAGCTTTTGCAAAATCAACTAATATTGCAGGAAGAGTTGCTGAAAATAATAAAGTCTGCCTGTGCTCTGGTAAACGATTTATTATTTCTTGTAACTGTTCAAAAAAGCCCAATTCAAACAATCTGAAAATATAAAATATATTGCAAATTTTTACTACTATATTTTCATGGATTGACTGGCATATCACATATAACCGGGCGAGACTAGCATGCCAGTTAAACTGTGACTAAAAAAGAAAATTAATAAGATCTAACAAAACTAGTTGTTAACTAAATGAAACATTTTTCCAAGTACAATAAAATAATAACATTGTAATTTGACTGACTTACAACCAGGAAAAGTTTTTGTTTACAGGGCAATAAAACAATCAGCAATTTATTGGCATTAGTTGTAGTAGTAGTTAGTGTAGGTTGCACTATCTAACCTGACCTTAAAGATAACACTTTCCTCTCATATTTGACAAAAAGCCCATGTTAATTGGTGTAGTTGAGATAATTTACAGCCAGTTTCTGAAATCTGATATGTTTATTTTTGTGTTTTTGGATCAAATTACAATAAAACAAACATTAAAGAAGCATTTTCAGCATTCCACAAGTATTTTACATTAGAAAAAAAGACAAATGCAGAAATTAAACATATAATCCTAGTTTTTGATGTAATGCTGACAGTTTTAGAATAAAAACTCATTCAATTTTACATAATGTAACTTGTTCATTTTTTCCCTTGAGCCATCTAGTGAGGGATGTGTAACCTCACTTAAACTAGCATGCCGACATTTTCCAGAGATAAACTGACGTGCCAGTTTTTACCATATTGAAATATCTGATTTCATGGTCTTCCCTGCTTAGACAGACATGTCAGACAATCCACAAAAATACAGTATATTTGAAAAAAATTATTATAATTAATAACAAACTATCTGATTTAATTATACTAATTAACTTACCTATCTGCCTCATCAAAAACAAGATATTCAATATTTGAAAGTTTTAAATCCATTTCAACAATTACATGCAGCAATCTTCCAGGAGTTGCTATTATAATATCTGGATTCTTATGAATTTCCAAAAACTGATCTTCCATATTATCACCTCCAAGTATAACTGCAGCTTTTAATGTTGTAAATTTTCCCAACTAAAGAATTAGAAAATGCTTTTAATTTAAAATTTATTTATATTACACAATATATGTATTGATAACTACAATAAATATAAAAATGCAATAAACATTTAACACAATATATTGATACAATGAAGTCATCTGATTCTGTAAATGTTTTTTGGAAAGAACTAAGCATGTTCCATGTGCTCGATACTCCACTGAACTCCCACCAACCAATGCCTCTATCATTCTGCCAGCTCAACACATCATCGTTTCCCATTGTTGCCAGATCAGCAGACAATCAAAAAAGGGTTCAGAAAGCTCAATGCTCAACATTACTGCTCATCTTAAAGGCACAATTTTCAAGCAATGTGATCAGGAGATGGATGATTAGATATCAATTAAACGAATCAAGTGAATAAATTACAGTGGAACCTCTATAAGTCTCTTAAGGAACATTTCCCGATTGGGATCCCTTTCCCTGCCCCGCCAAATTGGCACCACAGGGTTTAGAGACTATGTCTTTTCCTTCGTCATTGACTTACGGCGATTCTGCCGCTAAAACCTATAAACGACAAAGCTTTGGGCCCTGCCGAACGTCCGGTTTCCCGTCCGCGGGGCTAGGCCCTAGCTCGCTAACGTGACATAGTTTTAGGTTGTGCAGTTGATGCTGCACTTTAATCCACTGACTAATTCATTCCACAGACTAATTTATAGTTTATTTATTATTCACATGAATCATAAGTTCATGATCATTTCCATCAGTTTCTCTAGTTTCTTTAAGTTTCCTTTACTAGCTGCTAGCGTTCGAAGTACTTGTTCAGGCGGCCGAGACCAGTCGACTTGGTCGGCCCCTCGGTGGAAGTCCTCAGTAAGAGGACAGTCAAGTACGTAATGTCTTGCGTCTCCGCAAGAGCTGCCACAGGAGCAGCTACCGTCTCCCTGCCCGAAGCGGGACTGGAAGCGGGGAAACTTCCCGTGGTTGGTCAGTATCTGAGTCGTGAGCCTATTGCAGCACACTAGAGCGAGGCCAACTACAGGCACGAAGGCGTAGGTTGACCTACCTACCGTACTTTGATTCCAGCGCTCTTGCCAGGTGGTCATCGATCGTTTCAGCAAGGTTCCTTTGATATAAATAGCCGAGGGTTCAACCGTCCTCGTTATAAAAGGACCGCTAGCTCCCGCCTTTGCTAGCTGATCGGCATGCTCGTTACCCAGGATCCCGGTGTGGCCTCGTACCCAACACTGGGTAACTTGTCGCTCGTGCCTCGCCCTCAGCACCTTGCTTCTGATCTCATGTACCAGCGAATCGCGATGGTACCCGTCGTTCAAAGCCTGTAGCGACGACTGGCTATCAGAGTAAACCGTGATCGGCTCTGGACCCGGATGTAATAGGATCCACTGGGACGCCCCGCCTAACGCCACCAGTTCTGCCTGAAACATGGACGCTTCCTCATTCAGTCTGACCGACTGTTCGTACACTTGCACTCCGTTACAGAAAACACAGAATGCGGCACCAACTAAGCTGTCGTCTTTTGAGCCATTGGTGTATATTTCAACACCCGTACCGGTCGGTTCACTGACTTCCCAGCCGAGTCCAATCCGTTGAGCCGGATGGACTTTTATACACATCGACTCTCTCCCTAAGTCTGGCTGGGTACTTCCGATTACAATGCGTTACCTCTAGACCTTCTACCGTGGTTCTGTAGAAGGCTGCCTCTTGGCTGATTACCAAGGGCAGCGGGAGCAGCCCGGCCAAGACCAGGGCCGCATCCGTAGACACAGTTCTGTAACCTCTAATGATCCGCAGGGTAGCGGGCCTTTGGATCGTGAGCAGCGTCTTGGTCATTTTGACATTGTCGGTGTCCTTCCACCAGACTCCACAGGCATAGCAGATGACTCGCTCCACACACCTCTTGTAGATGGTGCGGAGCGCTTCTCTACCTAAGCCATAGTCCTGTCTCGCTAGTCTTGATAGTGCTGCTATCATGAGGTTCGTCCTTTCACGGACGTTCCTCAGATGGGGTGTCCAGCATAGTGTCTGATCGATGGTAACACCGAGGTACTTAATCTCGCTCACCCTTCTGATGGGGTTTCCCCGGATCCGGTATATTGGTCGGCGGGCCAACACTCCAGACCAGGCCACCGTCAGGGCCTCCGATTTCTCGGGGCTGAACGAGAGCTTGTGCAGCTCTCCCCAGCGAACGAGTTGTTCTATTGCTTCGTTGCCGCGACTCTCCATGTTGCTTCGGCCGTAACCGGCAACTACTAACAACAGATCGTCTGCATATGCCTGCAGCTGGACGTCGTCTGGAAGGACTAGTCGCAGCGCCGTGTCCGCTAGAATGTTCCAAAGCAAAGGCCCGATACAGGATCCTTGGGGACAACCCCTCTCCAGTATCTTCGTATGTCTTGCACTTGGTGTCTCGTATATTACCTCACGGTCGCTCAGGAAACTCCTGGAAAGCGATACAAGGGTGATCGGCAGGTTCGCCTTCCTCAGTTCACCCACAATGGATGGCCACCAGACATTATCAAAAGCCCCCGCGACGTCCATCGAAACGAGCGACGTGTGGAGGCCCTGCCGGCGGTTCTGGCGAACCAGAGAAACCGCATGATGTAACGCCTGGCAGGTAGAAGTCCGGCCGGAACCCATATTGGTGTGGGTGTAACAGCCCTTTCCGCTTTAGGTGGTAATGTATTCTGTCACTAAGGATTCTATCAAGAACCTTCCCTAGGACTGGCAAGAGACTAATCGGTCTATACGACTTCGGTTCATCCTTCGGGTGCCTCTCCTTATGAATAAACACAAGTCGCGCCCGCTTCCACAACTTTGGGAAATGGCCCAGTTGCAGACACATCTGATACAGCTCGCGGAGCAGGCCAGGACGGGAACCTCTATATTTGTAACATTTGATATTCGATTATTTATTTTTCCATATTCGACAGTATTTTCTGTATTTGTCGTTATTCCCGACACTGGAAGTGGCACTACAATCGCATGCCTGCGCTGATCAGCTAGCCATGTTAGCTAGCTGTAGTTAATCAGTCTGTTTTGTGTGGTCAATGTGTGTGTTGTTGAGTTATTGAAAAATAATCAATGCGAGAAACCATGTTCCAATAAAGTGGCACCCAAATGTTGCTTTAGTCAACCAAAATACAAATACATTCGATGATACTGTAATTGCCTACTTCAGAAGTTTTAAAAAGCAGACAAAAACACACAACACTGGACAAGTTCTTTATTAAATTGAAATCATTGGCAAAACAGACCCCATGATCATAATTAAAATTGCTTAATGTTTTAATTGATATGTCTTCTTCTAAACAATAATACTATATTAATAATACTGTTCTTTCCTTTCTACCACTATACTGTATTTATTTAGTACAATAAAGATAAAGTTTTACAAACGACATAATTTTTATTCTTGTACCTTTTTTTCAGGATAGGAACAGATTAATTGAATATCAGTTATTTATTATGAGAAAAATTGTTTCTATTTTCATCATATTCCATATTTGTTACATCCTTAGGAACAAATTAATGATGAATATAGAGGTTCCACTGTATATGTAAGTTCAATTAAATCATTAATCTGATGATTCTATGGGTAGAGGACACAATTTGCAAACTAGTCTTTTAAAAGTCCCTGAAGTAGTTCTAAGGGTGATGACTCAGACAAGTCCATCTTGGCTTGGGTGTATTTCAGTCACTCAACCAAGAAGTCACTTGAAGGGTGGAAGATTCTCTTCTTTAATTAGTACTACCTGTCCTGTCTTGATGTTCCTTTCTTAAGTACTGTACATTTAGTTTGCCATTGTAAAGAGATCAGATATTCTGTATGCCATCTTTTCCAGAATTGCTGTGTAAGACATTGGAATAGCTGATGTTCCATGTGTTACTGTAGTTAATGCATAACCTTGGATTGGCATTGATGATGTCTACAAGTGTGCCATACAACAAGCATACACATCTTTTAAAAATGTTTGTGTGGCAAAGTTTTAGACTTCAAATAACAATATCTAAAAAATATTGAATGAATATGCTTTAATTAAAGTAAATGTATCAATAAAAATGATGATTGAAAAAAAGGATGATCAAGTGATAAACTGAATGGATGATTGAAAAAGACAAGCAATAAATCAAAATTGTATGATACACTACATGCTTATGTCTCCTGACATGCTACTTTGGACATGTGTGCCATAGGTTCACTACCCCTGGTATATACTATGGTATTTGAAAGTTCCTCTAATTCCCAAAATGCAATAAGTTGTTTATGCATTGCTTCTTCAGTAAAGATGTGAAATGAATGTATTTATTGTTGCACACTAATATTGATTTTACCAGAGAGAATGTAACAAAAGACAGAATTCTGAGCTTGCAGGGAGTCCATTGGTCTTTGAATTAAACCAGGGTTGATAACTGAAAGCAAAAATCAGTGCCAAGTTGTATGTCTATTACATCAGGTTCATTGGGCTGCAATTTGAAAAAAATTGTAGACTTATAAGTTCCCACTGTCATCCATCCATTTGTCTGTCTGTCTGTCTTTCCTTAACCTCAAGAACAGTGTTAGATAAAAAAAATTCAAGGCCAGACATGGAAAGTGTGGTGGCACAAGGCCCCAATTAATTACATATGAACTTCTGATGCAAACTGGAAGTCACATTATTTCAATTCAAAACTTTCCCCTGAAAGCAGTTAGACAGCTGACCAGCATGACTCCATTGCTAACAGACGAAGATGTTAACAACAGAATATGACTGCACCTTGCAACAAAGGAAAACATAGGAAATAATTTATATATCTAGTATTGTGATTTCACAATTAATTTGTATAATTTACACTCATTTGTGACAAGTTTAGAAAATGGACTTGAGCATTTCTTGCATGCAGATCGTCAATTGTTCAATATTAATAATTTCACCAATTATCTCTAATAAACTTAATTTAATAACAATGTTTTTATTAATGACTAGCAGACCCCGCCATGTGTTGTTGTGGCTCAAAATGTATCTATTATAAATGT